GACCAAATATAAGCGTTTTCCTTAGTTCCTGTCAATAGTTTGATATCGTCCGCGAATAGAAGTTCACCGATTCTTTGATTATCAAATGACACTTGTCTGTGAACTCTTCTAAATTATCCCGCATAATTTCCTCAGGAACGGTTGCACAGTTTTGGCGATGGTAACTGCAATCATTATCGGAACCTAAAATTTGTTCAGGGTTCTTCATATTCTACCGGACCATTCGCATCCTCGTAGAACGATTTCAACAGGCTGACGCTTCTCTCAGAGAAATGACGTTTTCTCATGGTCGCCCCAAGTGCTTTCTGCTATCAACTCGTCAAAAGCGCACAACGAGAAATGCATAAATATGAATACATTTCTAATTGTAGAAATGATGCACCTTATATATTTATTTCAGTCTGTACGTATAACTGTCGTATAACTGTTTTTTGGTTGACCGCTAAATGAACGCAGCAAGTTGATTTGGCATGAATTACAATGAAAGGCATGTTTCTTGCTACTTGTTTGTGTCAAAAACACTAGCAGTTGCTGCAGTTTATCTCTTCTAATTCTGTATTTCGATTTGCTCATCTAGGGTGGTCACTTTTTTTGAGCCTGATACATTCGAATTATCACGCTTCGTCCACGTAGTGGCACAGTGCGTAATTGGTCTGCTTTGATTCTGCCGAAAAGTAATCTTTGTCTTAACCACGAATTAACTTCAACAAGGGTTTTATCACACGTTCCATCAGACTGTGGCTGCTCAGTCAGGATTCGACTCAGAGAGGTCCCGGGCCAGATTGACAAATGAATACCTCTCTATGGGAAGGTAACAGGAGACTACATGCTACGCTTGACTCATGCGTTTAAAATCTCTGTTTAATGTAGGACTCTGATAGCTCATGACTGACGGTGATCAGTCCCCCACCCCAACCATTATTACTAGCTTCATTCAAAGAAGGGCATAAAATGGTTCCCGACCTCAAATTCCAGCTGTTTCAAAGCTTTTTTTATTTTCCTCTGAGCTTGGTCATATTTACAATGACTTATCCTTCCACGTGTCAGTAGCAAATTTAAACGTTAATAGCTTCATTTCCTTTTTGGCTTCTATCTTGATTTTTCCAGAAACCTGCTTCTCAGCTCTGAATAGCTGGAAAGCTGACAGTCCTGACCTTGTTCAGTCCACTATATTTTTGTCTTTCGTTTCGAGATTTCAGAGAGTAACGGAACCCTGTGGCGGCCATCTTATATGGCTACGCCGGATTACATTGTTCCGAGAGCAGAAAGGCTGATTTGATCCCATTTTTACAAAGGTTTCAGCAAAATTTCCCAACCTCCTATACTCTCAACCGCAGCATGGTACTGCCTACGGTGGAGTTGGAACATGACGTACATATAAGAGCAGTAACATGTGTGAAGTATTCAGTTCTTCGTTACCGTTCTGGAATCGTGAGTTCGAAGCGACTGCTGAACTACTTTGTAGTGCATCTGAAATTTGACTCAGCGAATGATCCAAGAAAACAAGAGAATGGTGACTTCTCATTCTCATGAGGATCTTACGTTTCGACTGGAGCTAGGATGGGCTACTGCATTTGGAGTTATGACAGAAAATGTGATTAACTTCGATATTTGCTTCAGAATTGCAGCCCTGTCGCTAAGTTCATTATTGCTGAAATCAGCACGTTTGTGACAGCTTATTTGTTTAGCTTCTTGCTTTTTTCACAGCTGCTACATATCTGAAGGTTGTTTCACTCTGCAAAACCGCGGTATTTTACACTTTACCCCTGGTCAAGCTATATCACCTAAAGCTGAGTTCAGTTTGAAGTATTAAGTTGAGTCGTTACGAGTATGGTGGTATAACGGTGTAAATACTGATATGGCTGTTCACAATGATAAGTCTCTACAGCTTTCTAAGCG